AAAAAAAAAAAAAAAACAGGTGAAACGGATCAATCTAGCTCCTAATCATCATCAAAGTCATTCTCTCAGATATCTTGGAAGCGAAGCGCCTTACGTTGTCTTACTTCTCTGAACACAGCCGCTACCACGACAGCAACACCAAACACTATGACCAGTGCAAGAACCACCGCAACGTAAGCATGGGATGAGAACCATTGTCCGAAAGTGGGCAGTTTGTAATACACATCACTAGTATCATAAACCGTTTCTACGCTAAAAGGCGGAGCAGACATGATCGGTATACAGGGTCACAGAAACACAGAACAACAGAGAGACTATTTACTTCCTTGTGAACCCCAGCTATTCAGATATGATGAATAGAGAGAAATTATAAGAAAGAAAGAAAGAAAGAAAGAAAAAAAAAAAAAAAAATGTATTTGGGGAAACTACAAAAAGGTATTCAATGTATCAATAGCATAGAAAAAGTAAAAGAGAATTGATAAAAGAGTACAACCACATTTTTCACTGACGAAAAAAAATATCCAAAACAAAACAAAAAAAAAAAAAAACATACACTCAGAGAAAACTTACACCCACACACAAATCTCTCTAACTAATGTATATATATATATATATCTCCTCTATCCACAGTATCTGGTTAACAACGATGATTAGAACTAAAAACTAGAGAAAATAATGTGCCTAGATTTGGCCCGTTGCCCCTTTTCAGAAGGAGAACATAAAACAACAAAAAAAAAATATATATCAAAAACTTGAATTTATGTCATCACCACTCTTCTAATGTTATAATCTTACCAATTGATCACTCGCTATCAAACCAAGTAATACATAAAAATAATTTTATGATATGCGAGCTCGTTGATTACTTATGAAATGGTAGATTTTATGCATCCAGTCACTCTTAGACCTCTTCTCGTAAAGGGTAGTAAAACGAAGGCAGGACGCAAAAAAGAAAGAAAAAAAAAAAAACCTGAATCTCAAACTCACCATGCGGTTATATTCAGAGATAAAACAAATCATAAAGAAAAAAAGAGAAGCAAATGAAAATAAAACTACACTTCAATTACTTAGCCTCATCTTGTCAGAGATTCTTTCTACAAGGTTCTAATAATAAATGAAAACCCAAGTGATAAAAACAAACAAATTTATATTGCGGATCACAAGTTACGTTGGGTCCATCATTATAATTCTTCCCTCTACGATGTGTTCAAGAGTTACTCTGTTACATACATAACAAATGGATTTCATAAAGCAGAATCGCTACCATTGGGGTTTAACCCGTGTTTAATTTTTAACACATAATTTATCCTCACTTCCGTTGTCAATATGATAGTATTATCTACTCTCACCATTCTGAACGCCTTGATGATTCCGTCTCACTTCTATTTTCTTCCCACTCGCTCTCCTCCGCCACATCTTCCTCCTCCTCCGCCACATCTTCCTCCTCCTCCCCCTCAACATCATCATTCTCATATTTTACCCGTTGCAAATCTCGCCGTACAAAATACACGGTTATCGCAATGGTAGCAAGCAGAAGAACGCCGAGGATGACACTTGCAATAACAACCCAGCTATTTAACTTCATCCAAGAGGAGTTTTTTGGTGGCATGGAGCCCCCAAGAGAGACTTTCAGAGTGGGGATAGCACTCTTCGCAACCATCTCAACGATATACGGCAGTATACCCTCAACAACGGGTGGTAGAGTAAACCTAACTCCGGGTGTTACCGACTCTTTCGCATCGGAATCTGCAAATACTCCCAAACTTACATATGGGACGTCCAACAAAAATAAGATAATCAGAAAACTGATATAGAGTCGACGACCCACAACAAACAATGCAAGGGATAGTGCAGTTTTTATCATTAAATTCTTCTCAAGAGAAGGGCCAAAGAAAAATAAACTGCAGATCTCACAGGAATAGCTCTAATAACAAATCTACTTTCAACCAAGCCAATATAGAAATCAAAAAAAAAAAAAAAAAAAAACACAAGAAGAAGCTAATTTGCACACTATGACTTATTTAGTAATTCTCTCAGAGTGAACGAAAAAAAGAATTCAAAAATAAATAAATAAATAAATAAATATAGTACTCTCAGGTCGAAAAAAAGGAGCAAAAGGAAAAAAAAAATATTGGATTTCCTTCCTTCTTTCGTTCCTGCGCGCAATCCTATTTATCTGTACAGCAGCACTACTTTCTTTGAGAATAAAACTACAAAACAAAAAACAAATGGGCACATGGAAAAAACAAAAAGGGAACCAACCCTTTTAACACCCCTTATTTTCAGTAGCCCTCTCTTGTTACTTCGTGCGCTTGTCAACGTTGTTGCGAATGATTTCCCCTGTTTTTCTTCGTTTACTGATCCCTGTTTATTTCTTCAGAAGCTGTTTTTTTTTTTTCCTTAATTATTTCTACTATCAAAATTCTCACTTTCACTCTTTTTTTTTTTGTTGTTTATGTTCAGAACACCAAATATCATCGGGCAACAGCGACTTAAACTTACTTAGACCTATTTGCTCGTCAAAAACTGCACCACATTCTTTGCGTCTCGGGTTACCCATGCCACATTATTGCGAAGTCCTTCAATTCCCTGTTCAAAGCTGCGCGACATGCCCATCTTGGCTTTCTCATCCAGGCTATTCCAGAAGGAATCCATTTCATCTGCCACAGTCACATCCGCACCATACTCAAGATACTTCAAGGCACGACCAAGAATAAGTCCCGGCAGCTTTTCTCCGAGTGTACTCCATACACGTCGAAGTTCCTCTGCGTACAATTTTATTTTTTCAGTGTTAGAAGCAAGTGCACCAAGTAAATAAATTACATCTTGGCTGCGAACCTTATCAGAGAGAGCAAACTTGAAAAGTTCAGACACTACACCATTAACTCTTGAAGAAGCAAGTGCACGAAGGTAATATGAACGCTCCATTGCTTCTGTGGCTGTTGATGCAAGCATTTTTACCTCTTCAAGTGCGGTATCGCCATTTTTTTTCACATACACAGCAAATACTGTGTAGTATAGATCAGCGGGAATTGGGGTAGTTTGTCGTTCACCATATAATTTCTCAGCATGAGCTATGGTATCTTCGTCCTCTGCCACTGCAAGGCGGTTAAAGAGAATACCACGCAACTGAGTTACGCTGTGTTTATCCCCAGGCTTAGGAGTAAAACCAATTTTTTTCATTGCACCAGAGTATAATCTTCGGCAAAAGGCATTATATGCATTTAAAACATCTCCACCTTGAGTTGAAACCACCATTCTGAGATCAGTTTCAAAATCCACAATTGAGCACCACACAGTGTAATCATCTTCGTTAATATAAGATGACAAAAGCTTTAATACCTCAACTGCACTACAATAACCAGCTCGAGCGAATGCATGATAATCAGAGACAATACTAAGACGATCAATATTAGAAATATATTTTCCAGCAATTGCAGGTAACAAACTGTGTAACAATTCTTGACTTCCATAAAGAACACGACAAAAAGCAGATTGATCAGTATTTACTTTTACCCATGATGAATGAGGGATGGATAGAGTACTTTCTTTTTCTTCGATAATTGTTTTTAATATCTGATTTTCCGGCCTTGTAACCAATAAAGGAATTTTCCAAACTGTTTTGTTTTCATCTTCAGTGATATCACCAGTAGCAAGAAAACGATTTTGGGTTACATGAAGACTCTCTTTATTATCTGATAAAGTCACAGTAAGAAAAGGATAACCTTGTTTACCTGTCCAGTACTCCAATATGGGTGTTAATGGTTTTCCAGCCGCCTTTCCCAAAAAATTCCATAAATCTTCTGTTGTGGCATTCCCATAAGCAAAATGTTTTAAATAGGCGGACATACCTTTTTGAAAAGCCTCTTCTCCAATAAAATTAACGGTCATACGTACGATACTCCCACCTTTGCTATAACTGATAGCATCAAAAATATCATCAATCTCTTTGGCGTTTTTAACTTCCACTTCAACAGGATGAGAACTTCGAAGAGAGTCCAATTTAAAAGCGCGTGTAATTTCATCGTGTACAAATTGCGTAAACACATGCCACTCTGGGAATAACTTGTCTATAGACCAATATTCCATATAAGTTGCAAAAGATTCATTTAGCCATAGTTCTTTCCACCATTGCATAGTAACAAGGTTACCAAACCACTGATGAGCCAACTCATGAGCCACAACAATAGCAACATATTGGCGATGAGCAGCACTTGAACTTTCATCACACAAAAGAGCGACTTCTCGATAAGTAATAAGACCCCAATTTTCCATAGCTCCTGCAGCAAAATCTGGAATAGCAAGAAGATCAACTTTTGGGAGAATATAATTTGATTCAAAAAATTCCTCATAAAGTGGAAGAACTTTACAGGCAACATCAAGAGCAAAAGAAGCCTGGGATTTTTTCCCCTGAGGAGTAAATACACGAACAAGTGTTTCTTCAACCTCACCATTAATATTTTTATGTGTTTTTTTTATAGTACGTTGAATAGAGTCAAATTCCGCAATTGTCCAAGCAAGAAGATAAGTTGACATCTTTGGAGTTGGTTCAAAAAACCAACGAGTCTGGGTCCCAAGATTTTCTTTCTTACAGTGTGGCATGTTAGAAAGCACTAACATATTTGATGGAGCAGTTATTATCATTTCAAAAACGGCCTTCACCGCTGGTTCATCCCAACAAGGAATTGCACGACGAGCATCCACAGCTTCAAATTGTGTTGTGCCCATATATGAATCTTTTCTATTAGCAACATATTTGCTTCTGTAAAAACCAGCAAGTTTATCATTGATTATACCTGTATAATCAATTGAAAGAATGGCTTCCCCAGAGAAACTATTTTTCAGAGGAAATACGGCCTTCATTTCACCCTCATCCAATATTATTGCATTAACAGGAACTTCTTCAACGTTCGATGGATTGTCAAGGGTTTTAAGTGATACTTTAACAAATGTCAACTCATTATAGTTGAGTGTGATACTTTTTTGAGGCTTTCTGGCGGTAATTTTTATTTCAACATGTCCTGTAAATAAAAATGTATCAAAATCAGGTGTAATATTTACAGTGTAGTAATGCGGTACTGGATCAGCTGGTAGAATATTTCGTGGTAAAGCCATTTTCGTTGGTATTTGGTTGAAGAACTTTTTTTTTCCTTTATCTTTTTCTTTCATGATAGAACAAATGAAAATGAAAAGCAAAAAAAAAGAACATAATAATAATGACAATAATAATAATAATAATTGTTTTTTTTTTTTTTAAGTATTATTATTATTATTATTATTATTATTATTATTATTAAGTATAAGAATTATACAATCTACAGAGAAGGAAAAAAAAGGACGTTGAAAACAAATAAATAAATAAAACACAAAAAAAAGAACATCATCTGGAATGGCATGCAGAAATGCACAATCAAACAATACAAAACATTGTATAGAAAGAGAAAACCAAACCAAAACGCACCTAAACTGTTAACCTGGTTGGGAGAAAATGAGTAAAGGTATCTCTTCTGCCAAATAATACAACAGTAGTAGCATATATTCGATCTACCGTAGTACAAACCAAGTTATTCACAAATTAGAAGAGGAGGAAGTATTACACAAGAAAATACTCCCGAGCACCCACACGTCCAAAAAAAAAAAAAAAAAGCAAGGGAATCAACGGGTGAAAAAAAAAAAAACATTTCCCCATTTCGTCTTTCTATCCAGATGTATCAACTTAAACGGGAAAAAAAAAACCAGTTAAGAATAAGAAGAGAATTTCATGAGACTAGATTGAGATAAAAGCGGGTCTTCCGTTATAGCAAGAACTCTTGCCCGTAATTTTGGCTGCGCCTTCTCCCATATTATTATTATTATTATTATTATTATTATTATTATTTAATCAGACTAATTTAAAAAGTGAACTCTAGACTCAAATATCAGGAGTGTAAAACCACACAGCTCTCAGTAGAAGGTATACGTTGAGCATCAAAACCACCCTTTATCACCAATACCAAGAATAACAGGAAATAAACTGCATTTTTTTTTTTCCGCCACTCCGACTCTTAAGAAAAAAAATAAAAGAGAAAGGGTTTTATCTAAAGGAGGAATAGATAAAAAATCTCAAAACACGCTTCAACAACAACAACAACAACAACAACAACAACAAAACGTGATTCTCTCCCCATTGGTTTCCAAAAGTATGAATATTTCGTTTTTTTTTTTTTTTTTTTTTTTTTTGAGTACTGATGA